ATGCTATCAGCTCCCATTCTATCAGCCATCCACTGAGACTCTTTCTTGGCTGACTGTCCTGTTATCCTTGGGAGTGCTGGCAGCTTCTAGGAGCTGAGCAGAACCCAGAGGCAGGAACACACAGGGCCCCAGACAGTGGGGCTGGAGATACATAGCTTGCTGAGATATATTTCCACTTCTTATCGACAACAATTATTCCTGCAAGCTGCTTTTTTTTCCAATGGAAACTCTGCCCTTAGCTTTGTCAACAAGATTTCTGGGTTGATTACAGTTCTCCAGGTAACAAGCAGGCCAGGCCCTGTCACTGCTGGAAAGCGTGGGCAGTGACAGTGTCTGCTGAAGCGTAGGGAGCTGCCCATTCATAATCTGCAGTCCAATCTCTCTGGTTTTAGAGCAAAGAAACTGGGGCCATCAGAGGGGGAGCGGCTTGTCCCAAGAGTACAAAGGAAAGAGAGTGTTTTTCCACCTCCACCTTGGGCAAGTCCCAAGACCTCTCATCACCAGCCCGAGCAGCTTCCAGGGGTCAGAGTGGTGTGGGAGAGAAATGGGCCATGGGAGGAGGCATGAATGTCATCTCTGGAGGAGGGGAGTTGTGGGAAGCCATGGGGGAGGCCCTGAAGCACACTGCAGTGGGACCACCCAGCACCGATGCCATCCCAGACAAGCAACACAGAGGAACAGAGTGAGGGTAACCCAACCAGCTCTAGCTCCTGGCTCTGGCCTCCATGGCCTGAAGAAATGGACCCAGACCCAGAGAGGTAAGGGGAGATCTTAGACAGAAGTGGGATGTGCCTGGTGTGCTCTCTCACTATTCTGGGAGCCTCTCCTGGACACTAGGATGGGGGTACTTCCCTGGGATATGTGCTCCAGGTCAAGGTTGATGGGACAAGGAGGCTCTTGGTCCAATTACTTGGAAACCAAAGAATAGAAATTGGAGCAGCCCAAATGGAGAACACCAAGAATACAGGGGAAGTGGTTCTAGCCCTCCTCTGGGGAGACCTCAACTCCTACTATTGCTAATGTAGGCGATGGCTAAATGGGATTTAAAACAACAACAATGGCCTCGGGACATCAGGAGAAAGCTGCTTCTTTCTCCCAAGAGATTCCCAAGCCCAGTTCTAGCGTCTCTGTGGCCCTCTACCCAGACTAAGCATCTTTCTTATTGCTGGGTCCCCGGCCCAGGTCCACATAGACCTGAGTCTGCCCCTGCCCAGACAGATAGCTTTGAGCCCACCGCCCACCCCCAAACCCGTCCATCCCGGCCAGCCTTCTTCTCTTCATTTTCCTCTAGGACCAATGCAGTCTTTGTGTCACTCATGCTCTTTCTGCACTGTGTCAGTCCCCAAAGGGCCAGGTCCTGCCGGCACTGAGATACTCAGAATCCTGGGCGTCAGATCCCTCGCTTACCTCCACAACCGCCCTGGCCAGCCTGATGCGCTTGGCAATGTGACTACCGTCCAGCGTCCCCCAAAGCCCACTCCTGCATCCTCCTCTACAAATGCGGACATGAGAGAGCGCCCGGGTCACAGGGCTGTTACAGGACCAACATCTCTGTCTAGCACTCAGCACGGTCCCTGGCACAGTGTGGTTGGATGTCAGCTGGAGCTCACTACTAAAGCTGTAACTGCTGTCAGCACAAGACCAGAGCCTGGGAAATCAGGAGACTTTCAGGCCCCACAGAGGGGCCATGGAGGGCAGCAGGCCTGCTCTCAGCCCCAAACATGCTACTCCAAACAAACGTTGCCCAGAAAGCCACATTTCCACTGAACTGGGAAAAAACTGACCACCCCACCCATTGGCTGTGGCTTCCAAAAATCTGGCTTCTCAGGGTGGGGAAATTTTCCCCAGCCAGATTTTTGGAAGCCACAGCCAATGGCTAATCTCTCCCCTATATGCAGAGAAGCTGAGCTACACATCTGGACTTTTCCTCTGCAAGAAGGATAAGACCCGTGGCTCCCGAGGTGCCACTGAGTACCAAGTCCTTGTGCCCATTGCCTTTCCCTTCCTTTCCCTCTGTCCCCCAATGCCATCTCTTTCCTACTTCTTCTGTCACCCGGGGCTTGTCATGCATCCGTCACATATCTGTTCTCCCCTAGTGGGACCTGAGGCTCAGCGGCCCCATGAGGCTGCCTGTGTGTCATCAGGGCAGTGGTACTTCCTCAGCTGCTCTTGCCTACCACCGAAAGTGCAGAACGCAGGGAAGGCTGAGGTGGAGAGCCAAAGGCTGGAGCCCAGAGGCAGCAGTGAGGGCTGCAGCCGCCCTGGCAATAGGGAGGCCCACCGTGGCCCCTAACCCAGACACTGGGCTGGCTCTGGCTCAGGGGGCCTGGACTCCTGTTTGCCTCTGGCCCTCAGGGGCCCTGGAAGACCTTTCACTTACACTATTAGACTGTTAGGCCTGTGTCAGAACCAGTGAAGGATCCTGGGTCTTCTGAGATACATAGGACGGCTCCAGTTCCAAAGGTACTGATCTACCCAAAGGCATCCTCTCTATCTTCTAGATTATTAGCGAGGTGGTGGACACTCCTCATGTATTCACGAAGCTTTTCAGGGCCTAGACCAAATAGGTTCCCATTCACTTTAGAGGGGCAGTGCAGTCACTCCAAGGAGACACCAGCTGCTCCTCAGTTTCTGATTAGAATGGTTTCCCCCTAACGGTCTTTTCCAGAGCTTCTGTTTCGTCAGAGTTCCAGCTATCCTGCTGTGTAGATTTCTTCCTGGGGACCCCATCGGATGGCCAGGGAGCTGTAACATTCTCTCTTGGCCTCACACCGTGCTGGGCATTGGTTCTGGCCTTCGATGCCTTACTTTTGACGGTGACCCCTGGTTGGTTTTAAGCACTGAGACCATGGCAAGCCCTGTCCTGGAAGTCAGAGACACAATGGAGAGCCACACACAGACCCTGCCCTCTTGAAACTCCCAGTCCACTGAGGGGGGCAGACAGGTAGGATCCATCCTACGATATAGGTAAGCACACGTGACCAGAGTGTGCAGGAGAGCTCCTGGCTTTGTGCCCATAGGGTAAAGAAGGCTCTTCGGAGGAGGTCACTTCTTAGCCCGCTAACAGAGACAGGGAGGATCACAGTTCAACACGGCAGTGGTAAGAAGGGTAATGAGGGTTTCGGGCAGACAGCGCGTGTGCAAAGGCCAAGAGACAAAAGGGAAAGAGAGGGCTGGACGCAGGAAAACTGGTTCTGCATGGCTGGAAAGAGAGAGAGCACCAGGAAGAGATGAACCAACTGACCACACTCATTGTAATAGAAAGTGGATTCCATTCTTTCCTCCACTGAGTACTTCTTCTGCCCGTTGAGACTTGCATACCAGGAATTTTCAATTATTGTAATGATATTTGAACTGAAGACTTTCAGAGTCCAATCGGATTCCCATTCTGACCTGAACTGAGCTGCAGCCTTATACGGAAAGTAAAAGTAGGGCTCTGTCCCCTTGATTTATTGAGAAAGCGCCCCAAGGTCAGCAAAGCAGTGGGCCTCTTCTTTAGACAGTTGAGGTCCCAGCTGGTGCACACCCAGGGCCACCACCCTGCAGGGGAGCTCCTTTACCCCGGGGAGCAGGGGGCAGGTAGGACCAGCATAACTGAGCTGAAAGGCAGGGACAAAGGAGACAGTTCTGGAAAACTCAGCCCGGCCGGACAGGAAAATAAGTGTTCTGAGAGAAAACCAAAGAAAGAACGAAAGGCTCAACAAGGGCAGACGGAAGTTGGTGACCCACTCAGCTGCATGTCACCAGCTCAATCCTTCTTTAACGCATCAGTCTGTCCAGGGTGGCCAGATACGGTTGCTCGGCAAGGGGACTGCTGAGTTACACACAGCCGCCCAATCCCCAAACCTGCCTCCACTGTTCCACGTGGCTCACTGCTCTCTCCCGGTCAACGAGGTCACTTCCTTGTTGCCAGGAATCGCTGTAAGGAAGGGCATCAGCCACAGACACACAATGTTCACAAACAGCTTGCACCACGGACACCTGTGGAAAGTCCCCGACCTGTGTGGGCACACACCAGCCCGTACCCTGAGTCGGAATGTCCATGCTCACTGCTGGCAACAACACATGCCGGGCCTTCCCCTCAGAGCTATAACTGAAGATGACCTTGTTTCGAGGTTTCAGGCCCAAACGTCCGAGTCTGTCGGGAGGCTTCTTCCCCAGAGCCACCAAGTGGTAGGAAATAGCTGCCTTTGTCCTCACCCGTGAACCCTCTCCAAACTCTAGTCCCCTCCCCCAGCCCTATCCACTGGCCATCTTCCTCTTCCTTGTTTTCCTCTGATACCCAGGGGCAAAGAGGGAGCAGATTTGCCACACAGAGCCCCTTTCGGTGGTGTCATAGGGCACGCAGGGCCTACCCCGGGGTCTCAAGAGGAACCACCTCTTTCCCTCCTCAACAGTCAGCCGTGTGCGGCCCCCCTGCTGCCCTGGGGCCAGGCCTGCTGCCCACCTGGGCCTCTGCTCAGGGTAACAGAGTCACAGCTCCTTCACTCAGCGCTCTTTCCCGCGGCAGCAAACATCCCTGGAGAAGGCACTTGAGGGACCAGCTCAAAGGGGGTGGGAAGGAGACCTCACTCCAGCTGGCTGGGCAGGCTCCACTCTGTCAGGCAGCCCGTGGGCAGCACGGAAGGGCAAGAGTCCAGGGGCCTGTGGCCCATCATGGCCCCCTCCTCCCACCGCCTCCCTTTACCCACCCCCTACACCTTACTTTTGCCAGAGCTCCCCCTGACCTCAAAAACAACTCTGCAGCCAGGCTCTGCAGGAGCTCAGGATTGAAGTTTAACAGAGACAAAAATAATTCCCTGGAGTGAGCTATTTTCTGCCCAGCTTTGGGAACAATGGCTTGAGGTGGCAGGCAGGGGGGGGCAGGCGTGGGGAGGAAGAAGCTGGCCACGGGCCATCCATGGGTTTGGGGTCATCCCCATGCCCGCTCCATACTCCCCCTGGTGTGGGGTTTTCAGGGAAGGGGGACCTTCATCAGGGTCTGAGGCACCTTCCCCCACCTGTCAACCCCGGGTAAGGAGTGAGGACAGCGGGGATGAGGAGGCCCGTGGGGACCTTGTGCTGCCTGCACCCTGGGCCGCAGTGCTCCATGGCTACTCCTCCCTCGTGGAACGGAAGGAAGAAGGGAGAGAAAACAGCGCCACTTTACCAAGCCTCAGAAGGGGGATTCTACACCCATCTGTCTATCTCACGGCGTAAACACCTCACGATATTTATCTGAGACAAAATATTTAAAGTGTTTTATAAAATCGTGATACCCCATAAAGCTGTTACTGGTTGACCATTATTGCCCCAGGTTTCAAGAGGAGGAGGAAATTCAGGCAGGAAAGTACGAGGCGGTGAACACACGCTGTGCAACAGTATAGGGAGCACGACCCTCACGGCACCAGGAGGCCCTCACAGTCTGGCAGGGCAGCGTAGGTGGGCTCGTCATTCATTGCCTACCAACCCCAATCCCCACATTCCACTATGCTTTCTTTTTTATTTTTTTTTATTTTTTTTTTT